TTGTGTGACTTTTCAAATGGAAGGTCAATCGAGTTAAAATATGTTTTATTATTTTGCTATGAGTTTTGCTCATAATATTTCAGAGGTGATTTTGGTAAAGGATATATATGAAATGTTATCTTACATTTACTATTTTTATATTATTTAATGTACTCCTAAATTAATTTCTAGAAGTGTTGGTTTGCCTAACCTGAAATTTATACTTTTTCCAATAACAGCAATTTTGTAGATTTCGGCATAGCAATCAATTCAAAATCACATTTAATGGAATTAGTAAAAGCTTTTGAAATCTACTTTTACAAACATATCTTAGAAAAGCTAAGTTGCAATAGTTACGAGTATTATTATGTTAATCAACTTTCAAATTTATAATAGCAAATTTAGGGACGACTTTTCTTGAATATGATATTTTAATCTACCCTGCCCAACAAAATCCTATAACTTTTGCAGTGAAAGCAGAATCTTAAGTTTACTGTAAATCTCTAGGGATCAAATTTGGGTTTCGGATCTTGACCCGAGTAATTAACATTGTCCATAAAATTAAAATATACTAAGGATGTTTTGTTGTCTACAATTTCCAAAATAGCTATTTAATGATTTACTTGCGACAAGTAAGTGTACAATTTGATGGTTGCAATTGTAATTTTTTACACGTTAGCACTAACCTACATCTAACTAATCTACAGGTGTACCTGTATAAGTTATCTGGCATTTCGGGAAAACCAATGGAATTTTAATCTACATTTTCAGTCCTTCCTGTCTCGATTATTGTTCATTTTGGCGCCCCACATATTTTAAGTACCACAAGAAATGGTTTTTCCTTAAGTTTTGCATACCAATTTTTCTTCCTTGCTCAATAATCACAGACCAACATATGTATGTATGTAAGTCTGTGATTGTAGTTGGTTGAGATGTGTAAACTAAGTTCCATTATAATTTTTTTATATTATATTTAGTTATTGTTATATTTCTGTGTATATTTAGGTAGTTGTTTATTTTTATTTTCTTTAATTTTTACATACTTCATTTATAGATTTACTGGAAGGCAACTCAACTATGGGTTAAGCTTGCCTTTGTGCGCACTATTTTCTTGTGTATTTTTTATAATGTTTATTTTATGAACAAAAAGAATAAAATAAATAAGGAAAGTGGAGATAGCAAAATTTAAAATGATTTATAATTTTTTTGGTAAACTAAACACGATACTATAATACACGATAAAATAATATTTTAATAGGTATCTCTGCCCATCTCATCGGGTCATCTACCGACTGGCGCAGATACTCACTGGGCATGATTGCGTCGGTGAGTACCAAAATCGGACTGGGCCAGCTGGGACTACGCCCAGCATATGCTGGAAGATTGCCGCTAGTATGTGTGAGAGTGGTGATCTCTGATGGCAAGTTAATTAATAGGATAGGATGGCGGCCTGATCACACCAAAATATGATCGGGTAGGTCGATCCGGAGAGGAACCTCAAATCACATGATCCGGGTCCTCCCCAGAGTAGGGTCGGCCGTCGGGGTGGTTTTTATTGGAAACACCACATACTCCTGGGCCTGCGCGACCCAAAGAAGCTGGAGAACTAAAGAGATTTTCACCAAAAAAAAGGATATTGCCAAGCACAACTTTATTCATAATATAATCATTCCTAGTTTCGAAAGTAAACAAAAAGCTTATATTCCGTTAAAAATAAAATTACACTATGCCTGAAATAAACATACTTTGAAACGTTGTTTCAGATCACTATCACAAATTACTTTAAATGAGATGATTAAGGATAGCAGATCCTCGACAGCTGCCAATTTGGTTAAGTTTTTTACCGTGTACATAGATGAGATTGCACTATATTTCTTAGAAGTTCATGTTATTTTAGAATTACAATAAGAATTGTTTAGGCCTTTAAATATAGATAAAGTTAGAAAAGTCACTCGCCTATTTCTGATCTATCGTATACTGCGAAACTATATTATTCCCGTATATCTATATATCTATCTATCCCGTAAACTATCTTAATCCCACCGTATTCACCTTATCTTAAGTACAGTCTAACTATCAACGAATGTTCAGATAACTTGTGATATGACTAGATAGTAAGGGCCGTCGGTCGTCGTCATTTTAGTAGACTAAAATGAATCTGAGACTAAAATGATTGAATAAAATCACTTAATATTGCCTAACAGTTTACGTTACTTGGTTAAAAAAATTACAGGGATATCAGTATACAGCATGCAATGACATATTTGGAAAGGTAGAGAAATACACGTAAAAACTTTCATTTTCATTCGTATTAATCACCATTATGTTACAATAATATCACAAAATTGAAATTAATATTAAACTATTTTTATATTACTTAGTACATTTTCGCCTGCATTATTTTCTCACACACAAAACGTCCTACAGTAAACAAGGTATAACTTTTAATAGTTTATTAAGGGTCGGCGCATGCGTGACATAAAGTGGAGGCGCCAGCGAGACGAGCCCAGTCATCTCTTGTCAATAAAGGAAGCCAAAGAGCATTCAACTAGGCTCTTACAAACAATACGTTTAATAAATTGTTATAGATTGAAGAATAGAACTTCTCGGTTGTGAGGACCTTGCATATGATAACTGAATTTAAGTAGCTACTTAAAATACGATCAAAAGCGCAACGTTATGTTGCTTTTATCAGCTTATAATTGACTGGCCTGTTGGTCTAGTGGTTAGAAATACTGACTGTTAGGTTAGTCACGGGTCGTGATGACTGTGATCATTAACAGAGATCGCCTTTCTGTCGAATTTAAACCGCTTTAGCTGTCTTACTTGATTTAATTGTGCAGTATATCTCAAACTAAAACTAAGCTTTTGTAACATGACAAGTCAAACATATACTGGACGTCTATAATTTTATGTATCCGTTTTTACATTATTATTAAATGTATAGTACATATTGTTTAAAAATTATAGCTGTCTGCACTTCCTTCAACACATAAACTTTACACATTTGATACTCTTTCGTAGGGCCTGTTTATTTTAAATGTTTAAACTGTTTAAAATGGAGGGTAAAAACCATCTTCAGGTCTTAATACATAGATGTATCTATTTGTTTTTAAATAGATTATAATAAATTAGTAATGTACCTATATATGCCTAATATATGTACCTATTTATTTTATTTGATATCTCAATGTATAATTTTAATTCCTTAACTTGTCATTTTCTTAGCGTTTATAATAAAATGTTCTTCCTTTCCTAAACAAAACGTAAATTTCTGTAAGTACGAGTTCTATTTGCAATTAAATTATTTTACAAACCTGCGCGTCATCGATTTTAATCGTTATCAAAATTCGCTAAAGGAAATTAAATTGAATAAACTGGAATCACAAACGGAAGTAAAATTGGGATGATATCAAGTCACCGATGCTATTTTCTTTGTAATATTAATAGGCCATTAATAAAATACCTTTGTCAGTGGCGGAATGCTCACCGGAGAAGATATTAAACATATTTCAACGTCAAACTATGACAAATTCGCGATATAAAAATAAATACAGCCAATTTACGTTACTGAATTTGGTATCTTTTATTGTGTATCATGGTCAGCTATTTTTCAAATGAAAATGTAAGAATATAATAATCAAAGGAGAATCTCTTAGATATACGCGGAAGTTCGTGAGGATGGATGTGTGAATGTGTTAGTCAATCACGTTAGAATTGCAGAAGCCATATGGATGATTATAGTTTGAAATAGCACAAAAAAAACTTTTCATAATTAAAAACCGCGGGTAGAAGTAAAAAAGGGAATGAAGGTAAATATATTCCTACTATTATTACCGTCCTTAATGAGTTTTAACTAGTTAATTCTTAATTTAAAAAATAGATCAGTTTACGAGTAATTGATAAAAACGTAGTGGTGGCTTACAATGAAAACTCATAATAAAATCTTTTACTATCTACTGTCAAATATCTTGGTAAAATTACTTCAAGGCTCAATAAACACAGAAATAGTACCTATTGCCTTTAATTAATAAATTAATTAACCAACTATTAATAAGAGATGCAGCTCACAGATGATGTGTGCCAAGATCCACGATTATAATAATGCAATGGAACTTAATTTATTTAATGATTACAATCTGTACGCAGTTCAATATGATATAAATGTACAATACAGCATAGTGATATCAAAACATGAATTTACAATTTATGCTCTTTGATCGCTCTGAAATCGACCATACAAGCAATCTCTGATTTTCATAAATATTAAATTTATATGGTAATTTTATTCCACTAGAAGAAAATAAGATGGATTTATACATGACTTCTTAGACACACCTTATCTAATCATGTAAATAATCTCGTTGTGATATCTAATATTTATTTGTATATTCTATTTGCAAGAATATTATGACTGATATATTACTTAAAATGTATACATATTCATTATTTTTAAGAGTGGTTGTCGGAAAGTGTGTCAATTTCCATTTGGTCCCATTCAAATTTGAAATAAAAATTCCACCCCTGAGTGTGAAATCTTAAGGTTGAAGTTTGAATACAATTTACAGTTCATAATGTAGGCGCACTGGTGTCGGAGATACTTTTCTAAAAGTAAATTACTATGTTTACTTTATTGTCGGTCTATCCATGTCGGGTCTCTGTTTGTACATTTATAAAACAATTTATTTTTAATTTTAGTCTCCTACGATAAATCATAAACCGGAAAATGGAAAAAAATACGTAATCATTAAAAAGAGAAGATGAAAAATATTAAACATTGTTTAGGATCGTCATCTAAACTTCTTGAGTAATATTTCTGAAAAATAGCAATTAAGTACAGGAGGAGTCGAACAAGAAGAAGTTAAATACACCAAAAGCGAGAAGAGAGACGGCCCATATCGGCCGAAGCCTGTCTTCCAGGATATATAAATTACCAGCCGGGTTTAAAGCAATTAAAGTCAAACATTGCCTTTGTATATTGTTTCTAAAAACATACACGAACGTTATTATACATAATTATGTCACTGACCTTTTTTGCATTCTTCAATTTCTTCATCCGAATTGTCTTCGCAGTCCCGTTCCAGGTCGCACACCCACATTCTTGGTATGCACTTGCCATTGGTGCATTGGAACTGCTTGAGCGAACATATGGCTGGAAATAAATAATATAATAAGAATTTTAAATGTTTAAATTAAGGTTTTCCCTAATAGATCAGATTTACGGGAAAAATGCTTTTGCATACGATAAAGTCCCATTCACATTTATTTCCGTGACATTTTCCTGTCAGGTTAGTTTAATTATTATTTTTGGGTACTTCAGTATCCTCTCCTCGCTACTGCCTGAATGGACTGGGTATATAAATCGTAGCGAATAAAAAAATAAACGTGTTTTATTTCTTTTTATCACATTGAGATTCCCATCAACTGAAATGATGGCATTAAAGCCGGTGCGGTGACCGCACTCTCATAAAAAATGCGCACTTAATCACACTCCTGAGTTCAATTTATGCACACCAATTTCAGCCATTTTCTGGTACAAACTTAAGCTGAAATAATTTTTAAGCAATTGCTTTGGCAGAGCTCAATTTTGTAGTGTTAACATGAACCATTCTGAAAATGTACACATTGAAAAGCGGCAAGTCTTTTAGATAAAAACTACCGGACTATATGTTCTGACGAGAATCTAAAAGAGAAACGAGTGTCTAAGTACAAAAAGTAAAAGTGTGTGTTCTAATTTTATTTTTACATAAAATTTGATACTCATTCTTCCAAGGTTGTGTCAACAACTCTACCAGTCAACCTTGGGGTGATGTAGAACAAAGATAATGTACTCGTAGAACTTTGTCGTATTTAAAATTATTTTTGAATTTGATGAAAATTATTAATTATTAAAATTATTTTTGATTTCAAAGTTCTAGGTGTTTCTAAAAGAGTTTTACAAAAATCAATGATTATGTTGTTAGAAAACCTTGATGATTAATAAGAGATTTGTAAGACTCGGTGATTTTAATGTGATGATCCGATTGAGTCTAATAGATTGATTTTAGACATCTTCTTAAGCAAAAAAAAATCCAAATATACCATTAATTTCTTTACCTATATTTTCTATGTTTAATAATTAAAATGAACTATTACAGATCATCACAATTGGTGACAAAGTAATGAGAACCATCCATTATGATATGAAAAAATTGCACGATGTGTACATTAATAACTTCATATTTACTCTACTAAACTATTTTTTAGGAAATAATCCTGAAAAATCGCGAGTTCAGTAGATTATTAAAACCTATATTCTCACTGCCATTATGATCCGCACCTTATACCTACCTAAAAGATAACCTATAGAAAGGTCTCGAAAATTCCTTTAAGAACATAAACAATAAATTCCGTGTACGATTAAATTGAAAACAATATTTCATTCATATGTTGCGATAAGATACTGAACCTACACGTCGCCTGATGGTCAAGGAGGTAGACATTTTATATCATCTATCACTACTGTAATCTTATATACATTTATATCAAAACCTGTCAATAATCTTAAATTTTTAAGTCCATGTAATTCTTATTGATTATAATAATCTTCGCTTATATATAGTCCATAAACTTTGAGCGTTTTAGTGATTTTTTTTTCTGATTTGTCACATCCGATTTGACTCATAAACTTGACTCATGAACACTTGCTTAAACCATAAATGTCATATTTAACAATACGCGGAATATGATTCTTTAAATACGAATAATTCAAACTCAATGTGGATAACGTAGTATTAACATAAAACATACGCCTAAAAATCTTTCTTTCTACAACAGCCAAGACGCGCCGGTCAAACACATTCAAAGATAAACACAATAGAAGAAAATAGCCTATCAAAACTTGGGCTATAACTCAACCGCGGGATACTCCTACATTGTACAATCGGATGTATATTTCCTTGATCCTAAACAGCCTTTATAAGCCCATTATGTAATGGACGCAAAGAGTCAGACAGTCAATACAATCGGCGAGACTATCTTCGTTGTCCGGCCTTCGTTGATTTATGCGGTACTATTTCGGGAAGCGTAATCCAATTTGATTTCTATGCGGTAGTATACCAATCAATAATTGATTTTATATTTTTATTGATAGTGAACCAAATAAAAATTACAATCAGATTGTGTTATGTAACGTCATTGTTTCACTGAAGTAATGGTTTACATATATTTTACTTTAGGAATTAAATACATTTTTCAACTATATTCTTTTATAGATACTTTATAAAATTAACCTTACTAGTCTTCACATGAATTCAAAATTCGATGCTTTTATTTTCTTAATGATTTCATATTTCATCCTAAATATTGTTGAACGGATATGATAGGATAGATAGGATAGGATAGGATAGTATAGTTCGTATCCATTATGGCTACACATTTGTATTATCTTACCTAAAATCGGCTTTAAGCGCTAATAAATTACGAAGACACTTATCAGGCCACCCACAAACAAGTATTTTTTTTATATATTCTCTGAAATGCAGCCGATTACCATGCGAAACTTGTTTAATTTTAATGGGATAGGTAACAACATTGATTGATTGTAAGTGGTTTGAAAGGGACACTAATTTCATTTAATTGCTTTAAGTGGAGGGTTGTTCTAGTTAAAGTGCGTCAGTGGTGTGGCGAATAGGGGCGCGTAACAGCCCGTCGTTCGAGCGCGCTCGCTCGTCCTGACATCCAATCTGTGTCTAGGGCTCTCGTGTCTGTCTCATTGAGAGCAAATCGCTTGCGTCTGAGGGGACTGGCTCGACAAATTTGTACATTACGGTTACCGGCGCTGGAAGTTGTTTTAGGGACCAAAATTCTGTGTTCAAATAGCTTCCTATCTACATAATATGAGAACAACAAATCTGTTCTATCTAAAAGTGTATCAAAGTAGTGTATGTTAGATAGCAGCTCTATTAGTTTCGAAGCCAACTGTGTGTTATATGTACTGTATTTAAAAATTATCATCATCATAATCGTTTTTTTTATTTTTTATTTTGCATTGCTTGATATACCACGTAGGTAATAATTGTGGATAAAATCTCATTATACTATATTAACACCTTTTAAACAATTAAAAGTATACTATTATCAACTTTCTAATAATGAACTAGTTTACAACATTGAAATTTTTAGGTAATGTTACTTATACTAAGTAATTTATGTACGTCTGTTATAAGCTCTTAGTAGAACCGTGTAAAATTATGAAATCTAGTAGCGGAGCTCAAAGCATCATTTATCTTAATCGTGACACTTTTCTCGTTAAACTAAATGATCCAACGTTCGTAATTATGCACCCCAAAATTACATGATCATTTTAAGTCGCTGCCAGAATTAACCCTTATTTACTGTCAATTAAATATATTGTAATAACCCAATTACAATTTACTGCAATGAAAACTGGAAACCCAAACCAGATAGAACTATTACATTTATTTGTTATTCGATTTGATGCTCGGTTCGGATAAGGGTTTTGAGCAATTGTAGATCTACTCTTCCGTCCTTGTTATTTCTAGTGTCCATTAAATTATCCCTTTCCTTTACAACTTGACTTTGACTTTTGTGTTTTTAAACTTATATTTTTAAGGCTAGAGACGAGGAGAGTTTTGTTTAACCAAGAAAATAAATGGCTTTTCATTTAGCTTTTAGTGAATTGTACATTGGCATGAAATTTTGCAGTTTTATCAAGCTTTTAGTAATTACTTATTGGGACTTATTTCAAAATATTATGTTCTTTTAGTTCATATTACTTAAATATTTAAATATATAATTTTCTAAACTCTGCTAATTACTTACTCTTTTATTTTAGAACATTTCTGGGCATCTCGAGCAAAATTTAATAAACGCTTTCATCGCTTCGCAAGAATTTTCGCAAGCACAGAATTATTTCATTAATTAAAAAACGGAATTAAGTAATTGGGCAGTCCTACTTATTCGGTTAAGATTTCATCAAATTATTAACATGAAACTCTTTTCATTAAATTCATATATTAGTCGTCATATATATTTTAGAAATGCTGTTGAAGAGTAAATGCGGTATAAATGAGTTTACGAAGATAGTTTTGTTCTCTCGGCAAAACCTTCAAGTAAAATGTAGCTCCATCTGTCGACTTCGAGAACTTAAGTGCTATGTAACAAGTGTTTTAAGTTGTCTCCATAAGTAGTAATCTACTTCTGTGAGGTGTAAAACCTTCAGTTTGCGTTTAAGCATCTCACCCGTAACATCCAATCGGAAAAATTGGTTCTACTGAAAATCTGGAACTCAAAATGTCCTAAAATTACTAAATTAGAAATGTATTATACAAAGTAAGGAAATAAAATTTACTTATAGTCTATCAGTCTATATTCAACATTTAAAGGTGATGTATGAAATCTGTACTCACTCCATACAGTATAAATTGGGTAAGCGAGCCCTAACAAAGGTTCGAATTTCAGATTTGATACCATACAATACTTGATCGAATTAAGTTGAAAATAATTGATGCAATACTATTAAGTATTGCATCAATTATTTTCAACTGCAATACTTTACGATATTTTAATTATATAAAAATGTCACAAGACCATATAATTCTTACTGCTTTAACATATTGATATTTATAATAATTAGAACAATATTCCGTAATACTTTGTCAATTAATAACATTGCATACAATATTTATAATATATCATCACTTATACGAATCTATTATGTAGATCATACACAAGGCATACAAATCCTTGTATTCAGAAAATCTCTAAGAATTATTACCTTATAAAAACTTGATCCAAATTGAGACACTGCCATTCACATGTAGCACTTACTGTAGTATTATGTGGTGTACATACACTAATAGTACAATCACTGCGCCAACTTACAGAGAACCTCACATATGTGACTCTGTCAATTACAATTTCTCTAATTAATTATTATTATTTTTTTATTTTTTAATAAAAAGACAACGCCCGCATTAGGAATATATATTCCTGTGTCGCGGGGGACTTTACAAACATACATGAAACGGACACAAAGAACACCCAGACTTAGAACAACAATTTGTGGATCACACAAAGTGTTGTCCTATGTGGGGTTTGAACCCACAACACTCGGCGTAGTAGAAAGCGGCGTGGCGACCACTTAAACCA